GAGATCGTGTTCATTGCAGTCCAAGGAACCCTTCAAAGGTTGGGGAGAGGAAATTCATACAAATAAAACCAGGCTCCCACGTGAATCCGGTGAACAGCTGGGCCGGCACCAGGAGGAGCCGAATTGGGGTGTTAATCAGAGCCATCTTCCTGAAGAGGGATGGTGGCCCTGCGCCCTGGCTCTCGGGGATCACGCAGCAGAGACCTGTGAGGAACTGATGTGGCAGCACAGAGTGGAGACAAGGCCACAGGGGTGCAGGAGGGGAGATGGAGCCAGGGAAGAGCCTGGCCCGTCTGTCAGTCTGCTGTCAGTCTGTCTGCCCATCAGCCACAGGTCTCTACCTATGCAGAGAGCCATGCTGGACAGGTGAAGCCTTTTGACCAGCTCAATCATCGTATTTATTCTAATTGTGTCGTAATCGTCCCCAAGGAGCCGGGTTCAAATGAGCTTGACATTATTAAAATTTTAATGCCCAGTTTTCATAGCTGAATGAATATTTAAAGGGTATGTCCCAGCGTACATTATGATGATGAAGAAATTAATGGAATGTCTTGTTTAATGCACGGTTATGTGTTGACGCAAAGAGTGGCAGAGGGAGGGGCAGGGGACAGGGAGACACAGGCAGAGGGAAGGAACTGGGAAGGAGCCACCTGCCTGCCCACCCTCTGCCATGCCAAGGAGTAAAGCTAGCCTGAAATCCTTATCTGGTGAGATCGGCTCACTCTGGACACACCTCTCCCCAAAGCAGAAGTTGCCGAGGCTGGACCTGGGTGTGGCAAGGACAGGAAGGGGTCAGCTCCCCTCTGACCACAGCCACCTGTGCAGAGCGCAGGAAACTACCACACTCAATCAAGAAGACCACAGTTCCCAAGGAGTCTCCACAGAGGCTGGCACAGGAACCTCTGGCTCCTTAGGGAGCTGTCCCTGGCCCAGGGAAGGTCTCCCCTGGTTGGGCTGTCAGCCCACCACAACCTGGAGAACAGGATCCAGAATGAAGAAAATGAAGAACACACCTTAGGAAACTGACACACGGTGTCTTTCTCGGGGAGCTCACACTGGTGGAAGGTGTTGACGGATGACAGACAACTGTGAGAAAGGGAAAAGTGAGGACCAATGGGGTCCTGGGGAACAAGGTTAGCTGCAGGGAGAGAGCAAGGCAGCCATTGCCTCTTCAGGTCTCCCTTTGATCATCCCGCACTCCACACTCCCCACTACACACAGCCTCTCTCCCTTTTCTTTGGTGTCCTCCTGGCTCCTCGCCCTCTGTTGTACTCAGCCCTGTCATCTCTCACCATCTCTGCAGCCTGATTTGGTACCCTCTACCCAGGCCAGCTCTGCCCACATTTCCTTCCTTAAGGTGGAACCAAGACTTGATAAGGCTGGACCTAGAGGAGCAGGGGAGGGCCGTCTTCCTGCCCCAGCCTCCTGTGGAAAGCCTGCTGTGGCTGGGAACCCTCCACACCACAATCTGACATTTGACTTCTGATGTCAACTAAGAAACTCTGAACCTGCATGTTACCTTGGCCACCCTGGCCAGCATTTGAGGCAAGCCCTGCAAAGGCTGCTGGAACACTGACCACCCTCAGTTGCAATGGGAAAGATAAAATGACTCCAGGAATCTCAGCTCAGTGGGAGGCAAGTCGGTTCTGCTCGGATGTTCTGTGTGGAGAAGCCATGGTTGCCCAGCCTGTGGCTGAGGTCTCAGTGATGGGACAGTGAGAGCCTAGATTCCCGCCAGGAAGTCCCCAGTGAAGCTGGAGAGAGGCGTAGCGGGCAATGAGGAGTGAATGAGCTCCCAGTAAACTTCCGGGGAGGTCTATTGTATTTTCCAGGCCCGGTGTGGGATGAAGAGTCTTTGAAGGGATATGCCAGGCCCACTCAGGAGTGTAAAGCTGAACATTCTGAGTGGTCAGGTGCCAAGGACAGGGCCAGGGAGCGGCTGCAGAGGATGGCTCCGTGCACATGGAGAAAATTTCAACACCTTTCTGTTTGTCACGGAAATTAGGATATATTATGTCAGAAAGATTTCTGTCCCAAACCTTGGCAGTCTGTAGGGCTCTTCTGAAGAATGCCGGCCTAGAACTCAGAACCTTCTCCCAGAGGCAGAGCCATCTTCTCTCCACACTCTTGCTAAGGATAAGGGCGCTGCTCACACACAAAGTCTTGTTCACACCTCTGCCTACCTCGCTCAGACAGACTGACCCACCCCCACACACATCCATTGCTCTTCCCCTCAGCTCTTCATCTTGGTTAGGGTCTCCTTAGGCCACCCCTGAGCTCATCTCACCTGGCTCCCAGCAACTTCCAACCCCAGAGGCAGCTTTCCAGAACACGAGGCTCATGCTAAGGCTTCCACTTACCGTCTATGCAACTCTGGGCTGATGTCTTAGTCCCTTTGAAGCTCTGCCTCCTTGACTGCAGTGACTCTATTCCCATATATTCTAGTCGTTATCATAATCCAGCAATCTAATGCAGGTGGCCTAAGCCCCCGCCTCTCGTAAGTGGTTTCCACTCTCAAGTGTGCATTTTATCTGAAAAAGGGTGGATTCCCTGAAAGATCCTTCCCTCAGTCAGACCTCGTGGACCAGATTTGCTGGGGCTGCTGGGTACAAGATACTTGTGTGGTTTAAATTATCAACGTGTATTTCTCACTGCCCTGGGGGACGGAAGTTCGAGAACAAGGTGTGAGCGGGTTGGTTCTGAGTGAAGTCTTCCTTCCCTGAAGAGGGTCACCTTGCTGTGTCCTCAAACAACCTTGTCCTGTGTGCATAGGTCCCTGTGTTTTCTCGTTGTCTCACAAGGACAGCAGCCATGTGGGACCAGCAGTTATCACTTAATGTGACTGTAGTCACCTCCTTGGGGCTCTTTGTTTGGCCAGATACAGTCACCCTGCGGGCTCCAGCTTCGTCGTTTGAACCAGTCCACAATGGGGACCCCGTGAGGCTTAAAGAATGACGACAGAATGTGGAGCAGGACACTGCAGGCCCAAGGAATGGACTTGAGGGAGGACAGCTTGGAAATGTGGGGTGGGAGCATGCAGGAGACAGTGGGAGAAGCTTCTACACCAAAGAGATTATATACAATTTGGCAGCCCAAAGAATGAATCTGTACCGAACCACCCTCGCTACCTGGATGTTCTGTATTCTCCACTTACTGTCTGTCCCTTCCCGCCCAAGTGGGTGGGGTCCCGAAGAGAAAGCTCATCATGGTGTCCCTGGTAGTGTTGCCCCTGTGTCTCCTGGTAGCATCCTAGTCTGGTTCCTCCCAGCAAGACAGAGATAATATTCCCGACCTCAGAGAACTGCCCACTTTGAAAGCACAAAGTCTGGAGAGAGACACATGTGAGAGAAAACACGGTCGTAACTGGGTGCCTGGGCCCAACTCTGGGGAGGGAGAGTATCCCAGGCGGATCATGAAAAGAGACAGCTGGGGCTGTATGTAGCTCAGTGTTAGAGCACTGGCTAGCAAGACAACAGCCTGAGGTTCAATCCTCAGTGAGATGCTGGGCTCCAAACAGCAAGCTAGGAGTGACCAAACTCTCCCCTGGATCCCCTCTCCTGTAGTGAGATTCCTGACTGGCCTTCTAGACATTTCCTTCCCTGCAGAGTTTGGAACGGACTGTCTTGCTGGGGATCCAAAAGCACCCTGTCACGCTTCCATACCATGCAGTGGTATGACACTCCTCCTCTGGCTGAAGGGCCGGAGCCTTTTCATTCACCCCCTTCCAGGGCTGCCCATCACGACCTGGCGGCAAAGCAGAACTGCTGGGCCCCCAGAGGCCCATTTTGCTGGCCTTGGCTCCTGTGTCTTCTCCTTCCTTGTCTGCCCTCATTCTGAATCCTGTATGCTGCCTCTGTCCTTCTTTGCATGGCTCTGCCCTTCCCCTGGCCTCAGCTTCACCTTGCTGAGTCACAAACATCCTTCCTGCAACCCCCAGTTGTCTCGATGCAGCCAAAACTCACTTCAGATCCTAGACTGGAAGGCAGGAGGCAGCTTGTGGCTGCTGGTCCAGGCCCTGGAAGGGAGGGGAGCTGGCAGCAAGGTCTTAAGGCGCTGGGAAAGCAAAGGCAGAAATAGTCTTTGCAGACCCTGCCACAAGGCGTCCTGAAGAGGCACGTGACTGCCTCTTGGCCTCTGTTTCTCTGTCTTTAAAATGGGGGGGCTTTTGCCGATCTCCTTGTCTCTTTGGGGCTTGTTCTTGTGAGAGAAACCCAACTACAAAAAAGGGGTCATGGTGGGGCATACAGGAGAAACATGGTGAAGACACAAAGAACTCATTGTGTGGTTTCCATAATTTTTATTGTCTGGAATACGGCGGGAACCCAAGACTGGAGAGACCTCTCTAGTACCTTGAAGCTGGGTTTTAAGCTGCGGTTTGAGCCAAGATGCTTGGAGTTTAGCGACCTCTAGTGGCCCAGTGTAGTATTACACCAGTTTCAGGCAGTCCGTGCTCCAGTGCCCTAAAACCACAGCGGTACACAAGAATAAGAAAACTAGTGGTGTCTGCTCCACCCTCGGCGGACCTCTTTGACTGCCTTCAGGAACCCCAGACACAGATGTGGGAACCAAGCCCCCTGCCACCTCTGTCTCACAGGCCAGGCTTGGAGATGGCAGGGCCTGAAGTCAGACACCTGCAGAAACCAGCTCAGCAAAGCCAGTTGTATTGGGGGATCTAAGGCTGGACCACAGGTGTGCCTCGGGTACAGGAGGGCCTTGTGGGTAAAGAGAGGAGAAACGGGCATGCGATCACCCTTAGATTCTGGTATTAGGCTATTGAGAGCATTCAGAGAGGGAGGAGCCTTATAACTTCTCCAGCCCAGTGGGCTTTGGAGGATGAGGTGGTGGACGAAGACAGGTGGCGCTTTGGGAGATTGTACCTGCTTGTCTCTAGGTGTTCGGGTTCTCAATGTGGGCGTGTCTTGCACACCGGCATCTGTGCACTTGAGCACTTTGGTCCCAGGCTCCCTGTAATGCTGTTCCTCTACTCTGTTGCAGATGAACCGGCCGATCCAGGTGAAGCCTGCGGACAGCGAGAGCCGAGGAGGTAGTAGCTGCCTGCGCCAGCCCCCTTCACGTGAGGGCCCACTTGTCTCTGACCCTTCCCCCTCTTCTCCTTTCTTCCCACCCTCTCCGGCTGCAGCGACTCCCTACCTCTTCCTCTTCCTGCTGCTAGGGGCAGGCCTTTGTTGTTCTGGGTGACTGACGTGGAAAGACAATAGGGGGGAGGGGCTAGGAGACCGGGCCTGCTGGCGGGAGGGAATGGTTTAGTACTTGTCTAGAGAAACAAGGAACCACGTAAGAGCTATCCTTTCCCATTCTCTTAGTCCGGCAAAAAAGAGAGTGCCTGCCTGAGTGCTGTCAAGGAAACCCCACTGGGATGGGATTTGAACACTGCCCTGTGAGAGACACAATGCTTGCAATCTTGTTCTAAGAGCAGTCAAGGCTGTGAAGGAACACACCTGAGAGAGGCTGTGGTGGGGGTGCAGGCCGCACAAGGCAAACATGGTGGATCCGAGCAGGCAGACAGGTATCTGGAAGGGGACAGGGACAAGGACATAGCTTTACCCACAAATGTTCACCTCATGCACACAGATGCATGCACACACATGAAAGAGACAGACAGACAGACAGACTACCCCAGAAGCTCAGCCCTGTGAAGACAAGACATGTGCCAGTCAGGGACATCTCTGTTACCAGGCAACAATTCTCCTGGAAATTCAGTGCCTTTGTAGCAACAATGTTTCCCACCTCCGCTCCAGGGTGACCTGTGCTCACCCTGGGCACAGCCCAATCTCTAGGTTCCCTCCAGGTAGGATTCAACCATGCTACAGTGTGGAAAGAAAGTAAGAGCAAAGGATAAAAAATAAACACCTCGAGCATCAAAGGTCAGTCCTCTGCCATCCAGGCTGGGGCTCTGTCCATTGCCAACGGCCTTTCCCATGGTACTGAGAAAGAGGAGACACCTCAGTCCAAGAGAGAGAAGGGAGCTGCAGCCTCTATGAAGCTCCTGATGGCAGCCTTGAATAGGAGGATGGCGTTCTTTCTGCATCTCGTGGAGTCTGTCTTCATTCAGGCCCCAACTCCACACTCACTTTTCACCTGCCTGACCTCAGCACCAAACAGTGCCCTCAAGAATGTGGACAAATTCAGTCCCCAGTCAGACCCAGGACCCCCCTAAAGGGACACTGTCCTCCTACCCACCAATGGAAGGTTCCCACCCAAACTCTCACAGGCTCAGCAGGTGGTGAACTGAGCAGCCACCCATAAGCAGGAAACCCTAGGAGATAGGGAAAGGTTCGGAAGGGGCACTTGTTTTCCACCTTGGCCAGCAGTGAAAGATCTTGGCCGCTCTTCTACCAGGGCAGGGTCTCTCCCAGAGCAAAAGCTGCCAGGGGGAGCATTCTAGCTCTGGTTACTACTGTGACAAAACACCAAGATCAAAAGCAAGTTGAGGAGGAAAGGGCTTACATCACAGTTCATCACTGAAGGAAGTCAGGGCAGGAACTCTAACAGGGCAGGAACCTGGAGGCAGGAGCTAATGCAGATGCCATGGAGGGCTGCAAACTGGCTCGCTCTCCAAGGCTTGCTCAGCCTGCTTTCTTATAGCGCCCAGGACCATCCGCCCAGGGGCAGCCCTCCTCACAGAGGGCTGAGCCCTTCCCTATCATCGCTAATTTAAAAAATGCTCCATGGTCTTGCCTGCAGCCTGATTTTATGGAGGTATTTCCTCAATCAAGGTTTCTGTTTCTTAAATGACCCTAGCCTGTGTCAAGTTGACATAAAACTAGCGAGCACATGGGGAAGTCTTCCTACAGCGTCCATTAGGGAAGAGGGAGGGTGTGGGGAGGACTCAGGGGCATCGGTTTAGTCCCAGCTACCTCCTGCCTCCTGCCAAGTCTACTGACTTCTTCTGTCAAGCCTCCCACTGAGGTAGAACGTGAACCCCGTGCTTGCTGACTGCTTCCTCTCCAGACTCAGGGACTTCTGCCCCTGGCTTTCACTACTCACTAGATTGGTCAGCCACTAAGGGGCTTCTCTTTTCTTCATCTTCCTCTTCCCCTAAAAGCTTATAAGAAAATAAAATAGACCAAAGACACTTGAAACTCAGATTCAGCTGTTCTGAAGGGAATCGGCTGTGACTAAAGGTGGCACTGGTCCCAGAAGACTCCCATGAGCCCTCTGTTTCAAGCTGCTTACCTGGCTCAGGCCCCTCTTGACCTGAGCTTCAGGTCCTACAGCAGAGCTCAAGCAGATGCCTGGTGCCTACCAAAGGCGCCTAATGTCGTAGGGCGTGAACACATCTCCCCCATGTGCAACCCACGGACCCTGAGAGCTGAAGTATGATAAACTCGGGTGTAAAGGGCCGAAGGGAGCAAACCCACGTGGCTCCTGCCTCCCACTCTGGCTCCCTCCTTGATGGAGGCAGGATCACGTCCTTGCTCAGCCTCACCTAGTACTTAAGAGACCCATGGCAGGGATCAGGGTCTCTCTTAGAAATGGTCTCTAGAAGGCAGATCCGGTGAGAGCTGGGTGCAAGTTACCCAGACGTGCGGTGCCTCACCGAACGGTATTCGAAGGGGAGCTCTCAAGCGCAGGCAGGCTGCTTGGACTGTCCGCGCCTGCAGGGAACGCAGAGCGGGACAGACAGCAAGAGAACTCGGAGGAGACAGCGCGAGGAACTGTGACTTCTAGACTTGAAGGGAAGGGCTCCCCAGAGCTAGGGAAGAAACCGGGTGGCCCGAACAAGGAAGGATGCACCTAGAGAAGCCTCAGAGGGATCAGGCAGGCCTGGCCCCAGCAAGTTCTCCAGAGCCAGCATGGGTGTGGGACATCCCCTCAGTCCCAGCCCAGCTGAATGCCTGTTCTAGTGCTCTTCACCCATCCCTCGCCTGGGAGGCAACTGCTCTCCAACTCCAAGCTGCTAACCTCATCCCTTTCTCCCATAGATCTCCTGCTCTGACACTTGCCCCAAGCCAGATTAATCAGCTCTTTTATTCTTGCTGCGGTGGAAGAGGGGGAGGAGAAGATCCAAACCTAAACATCTATCTATTAATTGCATATTCAATATTAAACAGGGAGATGGTCCTGAGTCAGCACTATCACCAAGCTATTTTTTAAAAAAAAAAAGAAAGAAAGAAAGTTGGTTTAAAATAATTTAATATCCATTAAATATTTCTTGTGGGGAAGGGAGGGAAAGGAAGGAGGGAAAGGTGGAAATGATTAAAGGAATAAAGAGGAGGAGAGGTGTGGAAGGAAAGGAAGGGTGGCAGGGGAGGAGCGAAGTGAGTAAGGAGGAAGGGTGAGAAGAAATGGATCAGGCAGAGGAGAGGGCTCCGTCGGGAAAGGGCTTGAGTCATGAGGACCGGAGTTGGAGCATCCAGCACCTAGGTAGAGAGCTGAGCATGTGAGAGGCCTGTGATCCCGTCACTGGGTCATAAAGGCAAGGCGTGCAGAGAGAGGAGGCTCCAGGGGCTTTTCGGCCAGCCAGGCCAGTCAATAGGTGAGCTCAGGTTCAGTGAGAGGCCCGAGGTCTTAACACAATAAGGTAGGGTTATGGAGGAAGGTATCCACTATCAGCCCCCATGAACATGCACGCACACGCACACGCACACGCACACACACACACACACACACACATGCATGTATGCAAACACACACACATCACAACTTTTTTTTTTAAAGAAAAAACTGTGAGAGAAGCAAACAGGAGTGGGGAGAAGGGCCTTGGGGAATGTGTGTGGAGCTGGAAGTGCAGGAAAGGAAGCACCCCTGGAGCAGATGGTGCTGCTGGGCCCCACCCAGCCCTACCCAGCCTGCAGCTACATCACAATCCATGCAGTTCTGCTCCCAGGTCACTCAGTATTCCAAAGGCTTAGATCCTGGGGCACACATGAGCCTCTGTGATCTCCACCCACCTGCCTTCCGGGTTAGTAAAGAGGTTTTGGCTGGAGGAGAGCTTCTCCCCACACCCCAGCACACAGAAGCAACTGATAGCTCAGGCACCCCAAGGCTGCATTTCCCATTCCACTTCTAATGCTTCTAGAAGCATCCCATGGTCACATGCGGTTCTGGGAATGAACATGGGCAGGTGTCGAGAGAACTGTAAGTGGAAGGGCGCCTTCTTCCCTGCGGAGCTCCGGTGCAGATGAATTGCTTAGTCAGGCTGACAGGAACAGGAACAGGGTTCTTTCTCTTCCAGCCAAGAGAAGCAACGCAAAGGCTGGGTCCATCGGAGCCTTAGGCTAACAGGTCACTGTTCCCAGATGCCCAGACTAAAGTGGACAGGTCTGGCCTTTGGAAGGCCTCCAGCAGGATCAGGAGTTAGGTTCCAATCTTCCAGGGTGTACCCCACTGACCTCCGAAGCTTAGCTCTAGAGAAAGCTCACAGGCAAACAGACACAAAAAAATAGAAACCATTGTGGCAGAATCGGGCCTAATTGCTTAAAGACATGACCAGATTAAATCAGCAGTCGCCTGACCTTTGGCTGGAATAGGTTAAACCCACATTAAAAGGACAGGCCAAGTCTCTTCCTACTAAGCAGGCTGTATTTTCCCCAGGCCAGGGAAGGGAGACTGAGATGCCTGCGGGCATCCAGAGGAACTCCGCGAAAGGGGTCAGGTGAGTGAGGCAGGAGGAGGGAGCTTTTTGACCCCCACCCCCACTCTTACCCCAGCTGCAGGGCCTGAGGCAGACTAAGGAGGGAAGGAGCCCTGAGCTCTGCGTGGAAAGGAACGTGGAGAGCTAGCAATGTAAGAGTTGTTGACACACCCCCAAGGAAGCTTCCAGAAAGTTGGAAACCTCTCCCTCCCCAGGTCTCACAAAAGTGCCTGGAGCCAAGTATTTCAGTCCTATCTGCTCTCCAGTCTTCTTTTGTAGACTCTCCCTCCCTCCCTCTCTCATTTTTATGTCCCTGACTCGGCTATCTCTGCTAGAACTATACAGGGTAGGGAAAGAAGGAAGGGGAGGATTGTGGGGGGTGGGATCCCCACCCTCGCCAGTCATTAAGTTTCCCTTGCCCCCACGCCACCCTAGGCAGGTGCCGGCCCAGTCAGCGAGCTGTGCTCCAGTAGCCT